CTTTCGCTGTGGGTCTCTGCCTACCTAAGGCCTTCTAATGTGGAGCTGATTGGTTTCCTTCGTGTCTGTGCTCATGAATGGTGCACTGGAACTGACCTCCCACGTGGTCAGATGAGCCAAGTTGGCAAGACATGGCTCATGGTTGGCGAGTTGTGCCCAAGTCAAAGAGTTGACTCTTCTCAGCTTTGAGACATGTCTTCCAGATGCACACTGTGCTGACGTCTGGAGCTCAAGCCCTAACTGGGGATCCAGATACTAACACAGAAGGAATGGTTTAGATACATGTTAGCTTTTATTGGAAAGGTAATGCCAAGGGCTGCACGCGCTTCTAACAGTTTTGAGTGTAAGGAAACAGCATCTGCTGCTGAGCATTTGCTGGGTGAGCATCACCCTCCTGAAGAGCAGGCAGCTGTTGTCTTTGCAGGCAGCCACATGCACAGGGACTGGAGGCTTTTTCAGCCTTTCAACTCTTGGCTGTTGCTGTGAGAGTGGAGGCTCTTGCCCTGAGAGAATTACCAGCGTAAAGGATACTGTGTGTTTCTTTTTGGCACTGAGATGAAGCTGTGTGGAACAGAATCACAGAATCACCCGGGTTGGAAGGGACCTCAAGGATCATGTAGTTCCAACCCCCTGCCCAGCAGGGCCGCCAAACATCCACATTCAGATCAGGTTGCCCAGGACCCCGTCCAACCTGGCCTTGAACACAGCCAAGGACGGGGCATCCACAACCTCCCTGGGCAGCCCGTTCCAGGCCCAACCACTCTCCTTGTGAAGAACTTCCCCCTAACATCCATCCTCAATCTTCCCTCCCTCAACTTGGATCCATTCAACTTGGATCCTCCTTCAACTTGAACATAGGCTTGGATTACTTATCAATCAGGTGCAGGGACATGTAATGCTCATCTTAGATGTTGTGTTGACAAGAAGAGCAGAGAGGTAAATGTTATGGAGTTGCATGCTATTTTTTTTTTTCAGTCATAACCATGAAACAACAGAAGCGTTACCCAGACAAAATGAGCATCTGTCACCTGTTTCTACAAAAGACAGAGGAAGTGGAAGTCAGCATCCGTCAGAGCCCAGCACAGGACTGGTGAGAGTTACCCTGGCGCCGTCCTTTGGCAATCTCAGGTCTCTCTGTAAGCTCCCAAGCCGTGTCGTAACTCCTCCCGTGGTGCTGACTCAGCTCTCCCAGTCTTTTGTGTGGAAGGAGTTGAACTCCTTCCTGCTTCCTGCCTCTGTCCTCCCTGCTTTGCCCATGGCCTGATAGGATTTTATTCCTCACACCCAGATTGGCGCGTGTGGATAAGTTAATGTACTTTTATTTTCTGCTTGTGGTGTGAGGCTGAGGGAAAGCTCACAGCTGAGCTTGTGGTCAGTGAGACGCACGACAGCTGGAGATGCACTTCTGTGTGCCACTAAAACACGAGCCTCACGGCTGCCACGAGCAAAGAAACAGAGTTGTGTGTTCTACTGCTCTGTTTGCTGCTTTCAAAATACTGTGCTGTCTGCTTCTGGTGTTCAAAATCCTGTAACTGTGAGATGTAAATACTTTGTTTAGTTGACATGTGCAGGCGTCCTTCTTCCGAACCATGCCTGTATGCTTCTGTGCATAACCACAACCTCTGCCTCTTTCTTTTCTTCTTTGTTGTGTTTGACACTCCGCAAGTTCTGAATTGCCGGGGAACAGCTCAATGTGCCCTGGAGTTCTGGGGGACAAGCTCTCAAGAAACACTGTGCAGCTTCAAAGCCCCAAAGCCTGGGGAGATGAGAGATGCACGGCGCTCTGCCTGGTGCAGGACACGATGTGCTCTGCAAGGCCTTTCCACAGAGGCCTCAGATCCGTGCTCAAACTGCATTCAAAGCATCCCAGTGCCCTTTGCTGCTTGTACTCAGAGGTATTGGTGCCAGGAGTTGCTGCACTGAAAGGAGATTTTGTCAGCAGCGTGACGTTAAAGGTATCCCATGCTCTCAGTCATTCAAAGCATCCTTGCAAATGTTTTTACTGAGGGAAAGGTTTCATTGGCGCCATACGTTGTTTTATGGAAAATGAAACAGTTGGATTGTGTAACTCAAGCCCATTTTCATTTCCTCCTGACCGCAGTGCACTTCATGTTGCTCCTGTTGCCCTGCAGCCCTGTTGTGGTTGAAGCCAGCGGGGGGCTCAGCACCACACAGTCCTTCGCTGACTCCTCTCTTCCCCGTGGAATTGGGTGGAAAGAGAAAAGTCGAAGTAATGTGTTGAGATAAAACCGTTTACTAAGATAAAAAGATAGTAGTTACGTATGTACATATCTTTGAATATATATACATATGAATAAATTACAAGTGATGTACAAGCAGTGGCTCACCACCCGCCAACCAATGTCCAGCTAGCTGTTTACATCAGCTGTCTTCATTCTCTTCCCTCCCAGCCTCTTGCTGAGAGCTTTGCTGAGAATGGCCTTGTGCAACTTTGCTTATCAGAATCTGTAAACATCGGAGCGTTATCAGTGTGATTTTTCTCCTAGAGCCCAAACTTACCATCATACCAGATACTCTGAAGAAAATCCCTCCACCTGAGACGAAGGCAGCCCCCAGTACCCGTGCAGTGAGCCACGTGGGGCTGCAGGCGGTGCATTTCCCTGGCAGTGTTGGCCAGGGGAGCTGGGGAGGTTTTGCTGCTCAGCTTGGATGCTGCAGCACTGCTGTGCCTGTCCAAGCAGCGTGCTGTGTGCCCTCTGAGCAACAGAGCAGCGTTTCATCAACAATGTGCCATACTAACTCCTGGAACCAGATGTGTTTGCCTCTCTGAGGCTGGGTTTACCCCACGAGCTCTTCTTGCAGTAGCTGTTCTGAATTTCACTGTAGGCATGCAAGCAGAAGTGCTTTTCCCCCTTGTGTTCTGTCCCATGGTATTTGCCCCGTGGTTGGTAGAAGAAGGAGCTGATGTAGTCAGCAGTAGATTCCGTTTGCCCTCTGGTGCTTCATGCCTGGAGCTCACTGCTGCACAGAAGAGTGCACGTGTGTTTATCCCAGGGCTGCAGTAAACACATGGCATAGCAGTGAGCAGCACCTAGCGGGCTCTGCAGAGGATGGCTTTGCAGAAAGAGCAGGAGTGCCTGCGTCCACCTGAGTCCTCGGATCGGTTCTGGCAGCAGTGCACCAGCTGTGGGCACAGTGACTGCATGCAGGGCTCGGCTCGGGGCTGCTGTGTGGCGCTTACTGCCCAGCCCTGGGCCTGGCAAAGCACAGCCACCCAACACTCACGGCAAGCGTTTGTCTTCGTGTCGTGTTTCATGCTGTCTGCTGAAGTCAGGCACTGAAGGCAGCTTCCCCACAAGGGGAGGAGAAAATGAGGGGATCGTGGAAGCAAAAAAGGCAAAAATCTGGGAAAGAATTTTATAAAGCAGTCTCATAGTAGTTTGGTGTTTCTCCCATCTCTTCCTTGACTTCCTTGCAGGTGAAATGCATTGAAGCTGTTACATGCTCTTGAATTAAACAAAGGACTGCAGTGTGGATTGTACATAGGCCCTGCGCTGCGAGGTACGCTGTTGGGAAGCAATGTCCATCTGCCCGAGGGCAGGAAGGCCCTGCAGAGGGACGGCCTGAGGCCAGCCGTACGAGGCTGCACAGGAGCAAGCGCTGGGTCCTGCGCTGTGGTCATGACAACCGCATGGCAGCTTGTGCAGGATTGGGCTGAGGTAGAATTCCAAGGGCCCACTGATTCTAGAATGTTGGGTGCGGTGTTGGCATCTTCTGGTCCTGTGACATGGTCTTGCCTCCCCACCCTGTCGTCATGGCGGAGCAGCCTGGTGGCCCTTAGTGATGTCACAAGAGGCTGGAATGAGGGGAGGAGCAGTGCGTGCTGCGTCCCTTCATTGGAGCGCTTGAGCTCTGCGTGAGTAGCTCGCTTGTTGCCCTTGTGCAGCGACTGAGTGCCTTCGGTTTCACCCCTTGTGTCTTGTGCAGCATCTTGTAGGTAAGCTGAGACAGCGTGGGATGGACGGGTGGGCAGTGAGCTGTTGAAAACTGCTGGCTGGTGGAGCTCCTAGCAGCTCGTACTGCTTACTCTTGTCCATCAGACGTAACTTTCAGCCAGTACCTGCATTCCCAAGCGATCCACAAAGATGGCATTTGTCCCGTGGCTTTTCCCTTGTCATCTTTGCTGCATTGTGCAAGCTCACAGACCTGTTCCTTCTCTCTCCTCTATCCGCTCCCTTGGTGCAGCTTTCGCTCGTGGAAGCACAGAGCAAAGTGACAAGAAACAGCTGCGAGTTCAAGGAATTGTCTACCTTGTTCTGATCTCCTGCCAGGTACGTGCCACGCTTTGTCCCCCCACGTGGTTGACCAGCAGTGTGTCGCACCATGTTTGGTAACACAGCCTCACCCAGCGTTGATGGGACACTGGTCCCGTGTGGGTTTTTTCCCTTCCCCTGCAGCTCCGCCCTCAGGAGGATGCTGTGTGTGGTGCTGTGACCAGCTGGTCTGAAGGAAAGCAATCCCTTAGGCAAAGAGTCCTAGGCCCAGTTTGTGCTGAGCTGCACAGCGTGACCCAAGGTCACAAGCACGCACGCTTGGCCTGTGAGAGTGTGCGCGGCAGCTGTAGGGAGCACAGCAGAGATGCAAGCAGAGGAAATCCTTGATGTGCGGGGCTGCAGCAGGTGCCGGTGGTGAGGCTGCTGGGAGCCGGGGCCGGGGAGCAGATGCACCTGCAGCAATGATTCCTCTCACTGCCCTGCTGCTGCGCTGTCAGAGCGCCCTGGGCGAATGCATCTGCTGCTTTGTGCCAGTGCCCATCTGCTAGCAGAGGGACAGCCGCTTGGTCAAATGCTGCCTAATGGGCTGTCCCATTTGAACGGAGTGAACAGAGTGGTTGCTTCTAGAGCACCCGCCTGTGCCAGAGGATAGCCAAGGGTAGTTCTGAAGAAGTCTCTCAATTGTGTGGTGTGTGACCAGAGAAAATATGAGCGTGTTTCTTTTCATTCCAGCTTGTCGTGCCTGCTGTGATGGGCATTGCGTGCAGCGAGATCAGCTGTGAGCCTGGCATGACACGGATGGAGGTAGAGTGTGGAGCTCTGATTGGTCTTTGTTCCCTGATTTGAGCCAGCAGAGTGAGCTGCAGATGTGCTCTCCTGCTTTTCAAGAGAGAGCGAATCCTTGCGGCTCTATTGGTGTCACTGAAAAGCTGCCTTCAAGGCTTTCTTTCCTTGCTGCGGGCATCTAGATGGCCATGGAAGTCATAGTACCAACAGAATCAGATGTGGCGTAACAAACATGCGGGAGCATTTTCCCCATCCTGCCTGGATGTTGTTCCCCAAAGACCAAGTGCTGTTCTCATATTCAGCAAGTTCAAGGAAGCTGGCACTTGTAGTGAGCCAAGGATTGGGTCAGTGGCCCAGCTGCTGTGTCCAGTCCACGGCTGAGGTCTCCAGGCAATAGGTGACAGGAAGTGAGCAGACACTTACGCTTCTCTTTGGGAAGGCAGTAGTGCAAGCGTGGCAAGTTTATGAAACTGCCGGAGCCGTCTCGGTTGTGGTGTTTGTCCTCTTCTGATTTTTCCCTTGAAATAGCTGCAGAAACAACAAACATTGTCTGCTCCTGTTTGGCCTCACTGTTGGTTGAACGGCTCATGAGAGTCTTGCTTTGTGCTTGCAGTGGCACCGTTTGCACCTTGTGAACTGCAGCCGTAGCTTTCGTTTCCTTCTGAACGCTCTCCTAGCATCTGAAACAATCGACCTTCCTGGACAAAGAGCGCAGGAAAGGATGGGGTGAAATGGGCACAGCCACCTGTCTGGGCCATTGCCATTGCTGATTAGCCTGGGTAGAGAGAGATGCATCTTGCCATTGCCTGGCAAGCGCCTGCTGCACACCAGGAAGAGAAACAGCTGTTCTTAGCCTTGCCGTTCCTTCTTGTGTGCCCATGATAAGGACGGAGTGCACTTCCTGCAGCTTTCTCTGCTGACATGCTCCTCAGCCTGAAATCCTCCTCGTTTGCCCTCAGCTCCTCACCATGGCCTGTGCTCTCTGTTTCAGGCTGAGAACAACGGGAAGCCCCTGCTGATCCGTGAGGAGTCATCTCTTAATATCCCAGCTATTGCTGCTGCCCACGTTATTAAGAGATACGTTGCCCAGGCACCGGGTGAACTCTCCTTGGAGGTAAGCAGTTAAGGGCGTTCCTTGTTGTCCTGTACAGAAGAGTATAACGTGTGAAGCTCTCAGGAATATTCTCAGACACCTTCCGAATGTTTGGTGAGGTGAAGCTCAGAAGATGCGGCTCCAGATTAGACTTGCACTGGGTTGGATGCAGGGAGGAGTTCAGCCATCTTTAAAATATGGCTTTATTTGCAATTTGAATCTTCTTATCAAACAGATTCTAGCCAGTATTGTAGCCTGATGTCTGAGCAACAGCAGACCGGTGTATGGGGTGTGTAGATCTGTTCAGGAAGCCCATTTTGAGAAGCATTTCCTACAAAACAGCTGTATTCTGTACATTGTGTAACATAGCGACTATTCCACATTCAGTTGTACGACTGCAAATGCCTGAAGAGCTGCACTGGTGCAATGGCTCTCAAGCTTGACGATATTGGGCAGTGCAGAAGAATGCAGTCATTTGAGCTGCGCTTTCCTCCCAGCCGTGCTGAAGCTGGGATTGACGTTGCAATCTCTTGCAGGTGGGAGACCTCGTGTGTGTCATCGAGATGCCGCCTCAGGAGCTGAGCCCCCGCTGGAGAGGCAAGCACGGCTTTCAGGTAGGCCCAAGCTTCAGACGTGAGAGCGCAACTTCGGTCGAGGCAGGAATCTCAGCTTAGAGCTGCCCTGCCTGCACAGCATGGCTCCACATGGAAAATGGTTTTCTTGTGCTGGTGTCAGAGGACTTTCCCTTTTGCTGTGGGCTTAGGCCAGAGCTGAAAGTTGGTCTTTGTAGGAAACTGCCTCCTCAGTTAACTTAGAAAGAAGAGCCCTCACAGCGTGCATCAGGTCACGGCCACTGAACCGCACCTTTGGAAATGCAGCAGCTAGGACACGTGTTTCAGTGTCTCTGAGCACTTGTGCTTGCACCCATGCAGAAGGTGAAGTCAGCGTCTTTTAGGAAGTCGCTGCCTGTCAGCTGAGATGAGGCAGGGTAACAGAGCCTCTGCGCGCTTGTTGCTGCTGCTGCTGGCTGCAGAACGCTGGGTAGCTCAGAGCTGGGGATGGCAGCTGCATCTCAGTCAGCAAGCAGAAAGTTCATAGGCTGTGCCAACTCAGATACAGATGCATCAATCTATCATAATATATAACTTCTACATGAAGTCTTTCTGTCCAGGCACACTTGGGGTTTAGGGGTGTGTAGCATACTTGTCCTCTCCCTGCTCCGTAAGCCGTTTTCGGGATCTTTTGGCTGCAAATGTAGAATGATTGTTACTTTGAAGCAGGCCATTTTGTGCTGGATAGCCTTATGGACTGTTCGGCAAGCACGTTCCAAGGAAAAAGTTACGTGGTTTTTGGTTGAAGCGTTCAGGCCTGAGAAATGCTTTATTCAGTATTGCACTTCTCTTTTTGCTCTTGTTACAGGTTGGATTTTTCCCTGGGGAGTGTGTGGAACTCATTAACAACAAAGTTCCCGAGGCTCTCATCAATTCAGTGCCAAAGCCAGGTACGATGATACATTTGATGGTGCAGGGAAGCAAAATGGAGTCTTTTTTGGGTGTGTTCCATGTTTAATACCTCCCTTATCCTTCCCCCCTTATCCTCTGTGCTGATAATCCTTCCTGCATAGCACGGGGCGTATGGCTGGTGTTTTGTAGGCAGTGAGAATGAGGGAAGGCCAAGGCAGTTCTCCGGCAAGTCCGTACGAGGCTGAGAACAGCCAGCGTCCCTGGTGGACAGATAGAGGTCTGGTTGTGCTAGTGACATGCTTGATCAGAACGTGGCTTTTCAAGAGGGTCCTTAATGCCCAGGTTGAGCAAGCTAAGCAAGAGGAGTGCATTCAACTCCATCAGAACGTGCAGAGATTTGGCCCAGTCCTCCTGTGTTTTATGACTGGAGTTGGGGAAATCCTAGAATCCTTGTAGAATGGCTTGGCATGGAAGGGAGCTCGAGGATCATCAAGCTCCAAGCCCCCTTGCCTCAAGCTGGGCTGCCAACCAAGCTCCACGTTTAAAGTGGGACTGGACCAGGCTGCCCAGGGCCCCATCCAGTCTGGCCTTGGACTCATCCAGGCTTGGGGAAAATCCATTTTGGTACGCACTTGCTCATCATGTTCTTCCCGTTTTGAGGTGCTCTGTAGAATGTGTTGTGCTCGGCCTCGTCCAACGGAGCCAAACCTGAGATGAACTGGTTTCTTCCTTTTGTTGTGCAGTGCCAAAGAAGCGCGGCAAGCTCCTCACCTTCCTTCGTTCCGTGGTGAAGGCCCGCCCAAAGCAACGGAAAGAGCAGGAGGTGGAGAAGGAGAGGGTGTTTGGCTGTGACCTGGGAGAGCATCTTCTGCACTCTGGTCGTGATGGTAAGGGACAGCCCATTCCTGAGAGCTTCCCTGTTTGAGAACCTAACGATGAAAGGGAGATGGTATGTAGCAAGGGGCAGGTTGATACCAGTGGAGAAACGGGGAATGGGAGTTGATGGCTGAAAGATCAACTGAGGAGGTGATGGCTGCAAGGGAAATGCTCCTAAGGGACAAGCACGTTTGTATTTGCTTCAGCCAAGCCCGGCTGGGCTTAGTGGATGGGATGTGACGGGAGCGCAGCCTGAGGCAGGACTTGACTGAGGAGCTCCAGTAACCGCCGGCACGTGTTCTTTAGTCCCCCAGGTCCTCCAGAGCTGCGCCGAGTTCATCGAGCAGCATGGCGTGGTGCAGGGGATATACCGCCTGTCCGGCGTGGCGTCCAACGTCCAGAGACTGCGGTAAGAGTGCTGCGACTGACAGACACAGCTGCCAGCAGGGGCACGTGCCCTGTTGCGGGCGTTCAGAGGCCTGCGGGCAATGCCTTAGCACAGAGAAAAGGTCTCCTTTGGGAACATCCCATCCAGCACGGCTGACGTGGTGCTGGTGGCCGAGTGTTTGTGTTCTCCTGTAGATCAGGAAGCCCTTCCAACTCTTGATTGCATTGGGTGTGGCTTTTGACTTGCTTTCCTCTTTCTCAACCGCTTTCGTGTCCTTCTCTGCAGCCAGGAATTTGAGTGTGAGCAGGTTCCTGAGCTAACCGTCCGCGACGTTCACAGCGCGAGCTCCCTCTGCAAAATGTACTTCAGGGAGCTCCCGACCCCCCTGCTGACCGACCAGCTGTACGACAAGTTCTCGGTAAGCACGAGGCAACGCCTTTCCTTTCCCTCTTCGCTGGGCTCTTTCTTGGGAGATGGCTGCAGCAGGGCCCCGGCTCTGAGGCCCTTCTTCTGTTAGCCCCATGGGGTTTACTCGCATGTCTTTGCCACATCCTGCATCGTGCTGATGCCGCTTCTGGTGGCCCCAGGAGGTGGTTATTTCCATATTCACAGTGCTTGCGAGAATTCCTGTCTTGTTTGTTTGTTTGTTTGTTTGTTGCTATTCCCCAGCTATTTCTGGAACAGGAAGGGGATTAATAGCCAAGCGTACTTGGAGATGAATGCCCCCTGCGAGGAGCTGAGCTGCCCAACCAGGCTGTAAACCGGCCCGGTGCTTGGACTCCTTGGCCGTGGTGGCACCAGCTGCGTGCCGCTATGTTTGCCAGTTGCCTCTGGGGAGGCCTAAAATCTTTCTCAGTGCTGACCAGCAGCGCGCTGTGCCCATGGTTCCCGACCCTGCGGCAGGTATCTCGCCTGATTTGTGTCTCAATCCCTTTCTGCCCTTTTCCAGGATGCTGTTGGTGCCACTACGGAGGAGGAGCGGCTGGTCAGAATGCGGGACACCATCCAGCAGCTGCCCGCTCCTCACTACAGGTCAGTGCTGCCCTCAGCCTGCTGAGCTCAGCCCTGCTGCACTTCAGAGGGCAATGGTGCGATTCCAGGCTTTGTCTCCCGCAAGCAACGGGATGCCTGGGTGTGCTGAAACCCTGCATGGGGTTAATTTGTGGGGTCAGTTCCTGGGCATGGGGGCACGCTTGGTGCAGCTGATGGCTGTGCTGTGCTGTGCTGGGGCTGGGTGCTGCAGCGTGGCACTTGGTCAAGTTGGGTCTACTTCATCTTCAGCATCAGTAGCAGTAATAACAACTAGTGTGAATTGAGGTTTGCTTTGTGAATTGCATCATTGCATGCTCGCTGGTGCTGAACATTTGCTGCTCTTGTTTCCCAGGACCCTGGTGTTCCTGATGAGACACTTGGCCTGTCTGTCTGCGAACAGCTCTGTCACCAACATGCATGCTAAGAACTTAGCCATTGTGTGGGCTCCAAACCTCCTAAGGTAAACTTCTTTTTCCATTTCAACAGAACGCTTACATCTGTTCTCCAGTAGAATAAAGCAGTCCTCCCTTCTTCTGCACCACATGTGCTCTTCTCCTGTAAAATCTGCAGTGAGTGGCTGACAGCAGAGCAGGAGCCTGGACTGTTCTCCAACCCCGCGTGGGCACAATTTCTAGCTGAGCATTGCTGCTCTCTTGTGTAGATGGGACTGGTGTGTCCTTGATCAGACAGGAGAACTTTTTCAGTGGCATCACTGATTGCCTGCTGCGGAAGTCTCCGGAGCCCAGTTTGACAGCTTTGGGCTGCAGTAATTCAGAGCTGGGGAAGCGATCTTGGCTGAATGACTTCTAAAACCTGCCTTTTCTACAGATCACAGCAGAGCGAGTCTGCCTGCGCCAGCGGGAGAGCTGCCTGCACGGAACTGCAGACGCAGTCGGCTGTGGTGGAATTCATCATCGACCACACAGACGTCCTCTTCTGCTCCACATCTGGACCTGACATCGCAGATGGAGCAGGTGAGTGTCTTCCTCCATTAGCTTTATCTTGGTCAGACACCTGGATCAAATGCAGGCCTTCTCCAAGATCTCTGAAATACAATTTCCCCATTGAGAGGACAGCAGACTTCTGGACTTAGATTGGAATCTGGCGTCCAGTTGCTGGATGCTGAGAATGTGCAAGCCCAAACTTGACAAGGAGACAAACGTCACTCTCATTATGATGTTTTGCAAGCAGGTGAAGCTTGGTGAAAGTGTGGCAGCGAAGCTTTCTGAGTTCACCATACCTGCTTTCTAGGGTTTTTGTTTCCCTGTATCGATACAGGGAGCTGCTCCTAATTATGACTGCATCCTTTGCCATAGACACACCTCTGAGCACATGGTTGTTTTGAGCTGCTCTTCTTCCAGTGGCTCGGTTAAGCAAATCTGAGAGAAACACAGCAGCTCCCAGACCTGCGATGGCTGTGCTGCCGCTTTCTGATCCTGGCTCTCACCTGTGGTTTTCCCTTCCAGGGCACAGCTCTCTCTCAGGGCCCCAGTCTGTGCGGACCTCTTACCCTGCCACAGAGCTTCTCAGCCTGGAGGAGGCGCAGGCACGGAGGCGAGGCCACAGCAGCTCTCCTGTCGTTGTGACAGAGAGCAGTGACATAGAGGTGGAAGAAGGCCCCACAACTGTACGGGGGAAATTCCACACAGTCATCGACTTTCCATCTGAAAGGTAAAGAGGACTTCCTTTTCCAGCACCTATCGTCATTTTTTGGGTGGGTTTTTGTTGTTTGTTTTTGCTATTTTTCCATTATTTCTAGTGCCAAAGCTTGCTGAAACTCAGTTAAACTGATGGTGCCTGAAGTGTTGCAGTGAATCTCCACTCCCTTTGCACTGTGAGACAGAACTCACATTCAGTTGCCCGCCGGGCTGAGTTTAGCCACACAAGGCTGGCATTCCCTCCTTGCTGGGCAGGCAGTCACGAGCTGCATGAAGCCACGCTGACGTCTGTCCTGGCCTGTGCTGGCTGTACCTGGAAACGTTGGGGTTTTCTGGACTTCAGGGCCACGTGCCTGAATCCAGTTGTGGTTCTCCTCGAAACAGAGCTGTCAGTCAGACCTGCTGACACTAGAAACTAGACATGGCAGTGAAATGGGCTGATGAGCTGTCAGTGTCAGAGTCAGAGATGCTTTTGAAGTTCCTTTATGGCTGTGCAATTGCTCAGCCAGCAGTTATGCCTGCCTACTCAATCAAAGCCACCCTTTGATGCTGTCCTGTACAGGTGTGGAGCCTGTGGACCTCACATGCTCTGCATCTTGCTTGACACAGTTGAGGGGAATTTAGCCAGCAAGACTTCAGGGCTGAGCTATAGGAATGGAACCATCCTCAACTGCTTGAAATGGAGCGAGTTTCTAAGCTGTGTTTCAGCAGGAACCAGGCGGTGCTAGGAACAAGCAACTGTTGGCACGAGCTCAGTGCAGCTCTTCCCTCACCCTGCGCCACGCACGACTCCCACCATTCCCTGTTTTCTCTCTCCAGACCAAGTCCACCCAGCAAGATAAAGGAATCACCAGCTGGCTGTTGGTGTTCCTGCTTCAGCCTGGGGAAACCATCGTCTGGGGCCAAACGCCAACTGCAGTGCAATGCCAGGGAGCCCTCAGAAACAGACATTGTAGTCCTGGCAGGTGAGGGTGCAAATTCTGCTTCCAAAACTCTGCTTCTCAGCAACATAGAATTCTTGCTGGCAGTGGGCTTGTATCTACTTCCAGCGTTCTCAACCATACGTGACACCTTCAGTTCTCCCCTGATCAAGAACCACTTTTGTAATTCAGCTTGTGAGAGTTGGACACCAACCCCTGTTCATTCTTTTATAGGTGATTCGAGCTCTTGTCAACTGAGCAGAGTTGGAGCAAGTAGCGATGCTGGGCTGTGTGCTTCCACCAATGGAGAGCTCGCAGGAAGCACAAATGGCTGCGGTTCAGCTGACAGCCTGCCACATAACAACAGTGATGGACACGAGCAGCTCATCCAAGTTCAAGCCCTCATTTCTCCCGGCTCTGCTGAAGATGCTGACCTGAGCCTGCCAGACACCACAGGCAGCCTGGACTGTGACCCGGTGCCTCTGCAGTGCAGCCCAGCCCAAGCAGAGCCCGAGTGCTCCGACAGCAGCACCGCCTTTGAGGAGAAGGTCAGCATCAGCGAGGAGCAGCAGAGCCTCTTGGAGGGGGACTTGGAATCCAGCCTCCAGTCCCAGGCACCGGACATCAACATTGACAGCTCTGAGCCACTCTCTCTGTGAGGTTTCCATCGAAGAGAGGACAATTCCCATCTTTCCCTGAACCTCTCACGCCCTCCTGTCTTTTCCTTTAATAATAAAAGCACACTTGTGCTCACTCAACACCTTGACTGCCTGTGGAGTCTTCATTCATGGGGACTGGGATGAATGCAACAAACAATGAGGCACCTCAGCTTGCAACGGTGACGCTGTGGGGTGCATGAAGCCCAGCTTCCTGGCGGTGGCTTTTTGATGCATTGAGATGCCGTGGCTGCTCCCTAACACCTCCCTTCTCATGCCGTGTCCATTACTGGCTCCCAACCTACGAGCTTCCCACGCAGTTTACCTGCAGACCTGTCATCATCACGCTGCAGCAGAACGAGCTCACCCAAACCCGGCTTCTCATTGGTCTGCCCCTCCTCCGGGGATTCCTTGATCCTCAGTAGCTCTGCGGGCTGCGGTTGGCTGAGCTGCCGTGCGCAGGAGCGGTCATTGGGAGCTGGCTGTTGGAGGCACGGCAGGGCATATTTGGAAATACTTGGAAACAGCTGAAGAGCCCTCGAGCACACCGAGGAGCTGTGAGAAGGCACTAGGGTGCTCTGAGATGTCTCTTGGTCCCCCTGCAGCACGCATGATTGCTCTGGGGCATGTCTGGATATCTGCAGAGCAAACTGTGGGGCCCTGAGAAACCTCTGTAGCACATTAAGGGCACTGGAAGCCAGAGGTCAACAGGGGAGTCCTTGGAGACCCCTTGGTAAGATTCCAGGGGCCCTGGAGTGTAGGAGCAGCTCGTGCAACCAGCAGGTTGCACCTGCTTGGCTGGGAGCTGATTGGCTGGGAGGTGATTCCCTTGGTTTGATTAATTTAATTACCAGATGATCATTAAATAACACTATCCAACAGTCGTTACAGATTGTTTTTTTTCCCATAGTTCTGTCATGCAGTTGTTGCAGCTTTGCTGAAATATGCTGAATTTATTCAAAATTCCACTGATGCTCCTAAAGCACTTGAAGTGCACTTGGGGGGCAGTGATAAAACGGCTCTGAGATTCATCATTAACGTGCGTTATGCGGCAATACAGACCTCCTTGGGCTGCATAAATTCAGTTTCACCACCGCATCCATCTCCCTTCGGCCCTGCAGTGGAGCCGGAGACCCACCCAACATGGCGCCGCTGTGGCACCGCACCCCATCCCGTTTCTACCTTCCTCCCGTCATGCACTGCGCGACACTAGCAGTTCCGGTCACGGCGCTGCGGTGATTGGTCCATCCTCTCTCCCGGCCGGAAGTGAGCGTTCCGACAGCGAAGTTCAAACGCAGCTGCCGTCCGGGCGCCTTCTGTGTAGCTGCCGGCTGCCCCGCTCGCTTTCGGCCCGGCGCTGCGGTCCTGGCAGCCGTCCGAGCGCGGTTCAGGTATGTGGCAGAGGCCGGGTCGTCCTGGAAAGGGGGCTGGGAGCAGCGCTCCGTGTGTCTGCGCTGAGGCGGCGGGGCTCATCGGGCGGAGCGGCCCTTCCTCGGGCGGCCTGCAGAACGGCCGGGCTGCGCTGAGCCGGGGCGGCGCGCGGGGTGGGATCGGAGCTGAGACGGCCCTGCTAACGGACAGAGCGCTGCTGGGCCGCTTGGCCCTATGGGGAAAGGCTCCCGTTGCTTCCTAACGAGGGGTCTGGAGCACAAGTCTGATGAGGAGCGGCTGAGGGAGCTGGGATTGTTCAGCCTGCAGAAGAGGAGGCTCAGGGGAGACCTGATTGCACTCTACAACTTCCTGAAGGGAGGCTGTGATGTGAGGGGTATGGCCTCTTCTTCCTGGCAACAAACAGGACTCGAGGAAATGGCTGCAAGTTGTACCAGAGGAAGTTAAGGTTAGACATAAGCAAGAATATTTTCTCTCAGGGAGTGGTCAGGCACTGGAATGGCTGCCCAGGGAGGTGGTGGAGTCGCCGTCCCTGGCAGTGTTCAATAGGTGTCTGAATGAGGAGCTATGAGATCTGGTTTAGTGCTTGTGCTAGCAGTGGCAGTGGGAGGACGGTTGGAGTAGATGATCTTGCAGGTCATTTCCAACATTGTGATTCTATGATTCTGAAAGCTGTAGTCCAACCCTGCTGCTGCTGTGCAGCACAAAGCCCTGAGGGGTGCTGTGTACTGTTAGCATAAGGGAAGTCAGAGCCATGCATGTGATTTGTTATTGCTAGGTGAGAGGGGACGAGCCTTGGTGAGGAGATGGGCAGTGCTGGAGCTGCCAGAAGTGTCCCTACTGCTTCTAAGAGTGTGTCCTAAGTAGGATGAGAACGGTGCTGGCTCTTCCTCACTGCAGGTGCTTGGAGGATCTCAAGGTCTTGCAGAATCCAGGATGTCTGTCAGCGACTACCAGGAAATCCTCAAGTACTATGAATTACATGAAACAATTGGAACGGGTAAGCGTGATCTCTGTACAAAAACAGCGTGCCTAACAGTCTGACTCAGCACTCTCTTTATCTTAGAATAGATCAACTGCTCTTATAAGATCCCTTTGTCAGGTTTCACGTGTATAAACTTGAAGTTGAATTTTGAAACCAGTTGGAAATTGATTATGCTGATCACCTCGTCCTCTAATTAAAACATTACACACAATGCTAGGTACTCTGCTTTCCCTGTAACTTTATATTAGAGAAGAATTCACACTCAACTTTAAGCATCTGTGTTTTGAATTTTAGGTGGTTTTGCAAAGGTAAAACTCGGACGGCATCTTCTTACTGGTGAAAAAGTTGCAGTAAAGATCATGGACAAAGTTGCGTTAGGGGTAAGCCAAAAGATATTTAAATATGATGACACCTTCTGTTGGAGCTGTGGAGTTCTCTAGAACACAGGGAGATGGTACAAAGAAATGCAGCCTACTGGTGCCAGTGCCTTGTGAAGGATGCTGTAGGATTGGAAGAAGTTCAACAGAACACCACAAATCCTGTGCCTCGTTGTTCAGAGGGCAATGCTCTCTGGCTGTAATGATGTTGAACTTCCTCCATTTTACAGCAGCTTTAACAAAATGCTAATGAAAACACTAGATTTTTACACTTCAGTTTTTGCAGATGTGTTCCAGAATTCCTATGGGAGTGCTGAGCCATGGCTGAGTTGATGTTGAACTGTGTGCTGTCACATACATGCTTGGACTTCTTATGTTCCACAACAGTCAGATGTGGTTCCTGGTATGCCAAATTAGTGATTTCATAGCTTGCTTTTATGGTCTCTTTAGGACGACTTGCCTCGTGTTAAAACAGAAATTGATGCCATGAAGAACTTGAGTCATCAACATGTTTGCCGACTGTATCATGTCATAGAGACATCAAAGAAAATATTCATGGTCTTAGAGGTAAGAAATTCTGCCACGCTTAAGGTACTGTTTTTATCTTTAGCCATAGACAATAATACAAAAATGAAGCTGACGTGAAATGATTCTTAAATATCTCAATGGTGAATGGGTTCAAGATTCATTGGTTTTAAAATTAAGTAGAAAATGTTCTGTATTGTCTTTTTGTAGAAGCCCCTAATCAGCATTCGCAGCAAGGGAACTGGTTTTAATTCCTAGCTTACGTTTTGGTTTTTTAAAGTAGCATCTGCAAGGTGTGCAGGACACCAGAGCCCTCAAGCTGTTGCCATCTCCTGAGTGATTTGTGCCACCCACCACACTGAGTGCAGTGCCTCCGTTACCAGATTGGAGGCAAGGGTCAGATTGCTTTGTGTGCTCTGCCGCAGTGCTGGCCCATGGCATAACTGGGGCGCTGGTGTTCTGCTCTGATTGAGCACGGGGCATGGAAGAGCATCCTGCACGGTGCTTTCTGTGCTCTCATGGTTACTTACCTTTCTCTGATCCATTTTAAATGGGTTTTCAGATAACTTTGCCTTTCTGGTTGTATTGTATCACAGTATTGTCCTGGAGGGGAGCTGTTTGATTACATTGTTTCTAAGGACCGCCTTTCAGAAGAGGAAGCTCGAGTCTTTTTCCGACAGATTGTTTCAGCAATTGCTTATGTTCACAGTCAGGGTTATGCCCACAGAGACCTGAAACCAGTAAGTCTGAACTGCATTCAGTCTTTCATAAGGAATAATGAATGTGTTTTTATTTTTCCACTGGGAGAGAGAGTGATTTATCCCTTTGTTGTGGTTTAGCCTGGCAGGTGGTTAAGTATCACACAGTATTTCACTCACTCCACTCCTTTCCAGTGGATTGCAGGGGAGAATTGAAGGGGGAAAAAACAACACAAAGCAGAACTCGTGGGTTGAGATAAAATTATTTATTGAGATAAAGAAAAGGGAAAGGATAACAGTTATGATGAATGCAAAAGCAATTGCTCACCACCTACCAATCAATGTCCAGTTAGCCTCCTAGTAGTGGAAGAGATTTACATGAACTAATGGGCTAGCATTAAATGTGGAGGTTGCTGGCCCTGCATGTGGCAGAGGGGTTGGAGATTCTTGATCCTTGAGGTCCCTTCCAACCCTGGCCATTCTGTGATTCTGTTACTGAATCTGCTGCTCCGAGAATCCTGAGACCAAGTTTCTCAGAGCTTTTTCCATTTTCATCCTCCACCTCTCCCAGGGATGAGGCTGCATGCTCTCTCTGGGCATTCTGGTCAGTGCTTGGAAAACTTTTTTTCCTTATGTCCAGTCTGCTGTTTCCATGAATGACCTTTCTGTCACTCTCCCACCATGACCTGCTGTACAGATGCTCAGTCTGTCTTCGTGCCTCCCCTGTGGGCATTTAGAAGCTGCCCTGAGGTTCCTCTGCACTTTAAACAAACATCTTTCTCTCCAGTTTCTCTTCACTGAGTGGGAGCTTCAGCTCCCTGCACAGACTGGAGGCCAATCACAGGATTTGCTTCAGGTTGTTATCCTTCCTGGCCAAAAACTAGATACAGTATTGTAGATGTGATCCAATGAGTGTGAAGCAGGGGTGACTTGTCCTGGTCTGGTTGTGCTGCTTTTGAATGCAGCCAATTATATTGTTGTGCTTTTTTTTTCTGTCAGAACGCACTGCTGGCTTGCATTCATCTTGTG